AACGCAAATGGGAGGCAGAACCTTCAGCTGTCAGGCTACTCTGCTGTGGAACCAGCTCCCAGTTTGGGTTCAAGAGCCAGATGCCATTTTAACTTACAATATTAGGGTTAAAACTTTTCTTTTTCATAAAGCTTATGGTTAGGGCTGCCCAGCTGACCCTGTACAGTCCCTTAGTCCTGCTGCTATAGGCCACTGCACGGAGCCCCTACTGCACATACTACCATTGCATGTCACTACCTTGGGTCTTCTCTCTACAATTTTACAACATTTCTACAATTTCATCTAGTGGATGTTTTCATCCAAAGATATGGACATCTGGGAGCAGATACAACACAGGCAAGGATCTAGTCAGGAGAAAACAACCTGGATAAGAGCCATAGAACAAGTTTAAGTGTGATAGGGTGCTGATGCCAATAGCAGGCTGTGTTGGAGGTAATAGGAATATTTTTTGGTTTGTTTTTTTTGTATGTTTGTTTTCAGTCTGTCAAGTGCAAAGGTGTTCAGTGAAGAGCTGGGTGTTTGGTCTGTTCTTAAAGACTGCAGCAGATGGAACACAGTTTGGTAACTTGTTCCACCAACGGGAACCACAAAGGAGAAGAGTCCAGCTATGGACCTCGGCCCTGTTGTGGTGGTTGGATCAGGAGGCTTTTGTTGGTCAAGCATAGTGAGCAGAGGGAGTGTAGACCTGAATGAGAGAGTTCAGGTAAGAGGGAGCTGTTCTCCTCTCTCTCATCGCTCTCCTGTAGCTTGTTTTGTCCTCTCTGCAGGTATCTCTAACTAGTCTCACAGACCGTCCTAGTGTTTGGTGTTTTCCTACTCATTGGTGGCCTGTTTTCTATCCCCTATTTTTCTCTTCCTCCCCTTTACCCTCACCCCGACCAGTCAGGGCAGATGGCCACCCTCACTGAGTCTGGTTCTGCTGGAGGTTTCTTCCTGGTAGAGGAATCACTGGGGTTTTCACTGTAATATTGTACGGTCTTGCTATGTGAAGTGCAATGTCGTGAATTGGCACGATAAAAGTAGAACTGGTTTGAGCTGACTTGATTGCTGAGGCTTTGTAGAATCTGTAATGAACTCACCTCTGAAACAGCTGTGGAAGTTGCCTTTGCCCAGTTTGTCCTCACAGCTCTTATTCAGGCTTCGGTCTCTGTCTGTCTCATCGTCTTGGGAGTCTTTCTCCATCAGATACATCACAAAAATGGTCTCCACGAGGCTGAGCAGCATCATACCAAAAACCCCAATGCAGTAGATCACTGAAGGGAGCAGGAAGCATCGTTAATGTGG